AAAATTTTTATAACTCACCCAATTCACCCCCTTCTTGGGTGTAACTGCCACTAACATTTAAAAATAGCAACTTTAATTACTTGAAAGAACAAAAAAACTTTATAAATAATAAATACTAGAGTTAGTACCATTTTTAATTTTTGAAATTTGATCTCATTTTAATTTTTAGGATCTCTGCAATTTAAAATCAGTAGTTTTGATTCTTAAAATTTGACCGTATTCTAGTTATAGTCCGCCTTAAGATTTTTTGTCCTTAAAACAAGGATCAAAACCAAAATGAGGTTAAATTTTAGGGATTAAAACTACTCCTTACAAATTTTATAAACTAAAACTAAAATGAAATCAAATTTTAGGTACCAAAACTACTAATTTCAAATTTTAGGAACTAAAACCAAAATGAGTTCAAATGTCAAGGACTAAAAATGATATTAATCCTAAATACTCCTACTATCTTAAATTCCTCTCATGACTTGAATATCAATGATTTATTTAATTTAACTAACTTCAATTATATGAAATGATAACAAAATCTTCATAAAAATAATTACTATATATCTTGAAAAGTCAGATTTCTAGCTCTGTGATCAATCATAACCTAATTCAGTTTGTATTGCTTACATTACATGTTGAAAACTCCTGTTTTGGTGCATGCAAAACTAAGCATTCAAAGATAATATCCAATCGCCTAGGTATATCCTAACTCGAAATGAGAATTTTGGAAGTTGGAAACAATAGGCTTATTGGCATCATGTAACATCTCTCCATCAAACAATTCACTCATCTTAACAACTGCAGAGATAGAACTAATGATGTTATCTGAAAAGACATCATCTTTCTTTATTAACGGTTCTCTGATTTAGATGTAATAGTTCATACGTCGCATTTTGTATTATCTAAATTTTCTCATTTTTATTCGATTTTAGTATTCTTTTCTTTTTAATATTATTTGATCTTTTTTCCAAAAACAAAAGAGCTAATATACATCTAGTGGTGGATTGATGACCTTAAATTAGTGGGAGCAATTCTCTTATTGAATTTTCTTTCCAAAAAATAGTACTCCTTTAGTACTAAATGTAAGATCTATTTTATAGTATAACTTTAAATATAAAATCCATTTTATCTAATAATTTATGTTACAAAATAAGTCTTATATTAAGACTGTAGGAGTAATATATAAATTTATAAATACGAACCATCTCCTTTTATATTTAAGTGGTCTATAGGATGTCAATAATATTGAGGCTTTAAATATTGAGTAAAATACATCATTCTCCTCTCTATTTAACCTAAATAACAAATACTTTTCTTTTATTTTAAAAACCTACATGAACTTTTTGTAAAATCAAAATATATGTTGCATAATCCTCCCTTATAATTTTAAGATTCAAATTTTTAGCCTCCCAAATCTTAGTTGACATTAAATCAATGTTGACACACTATTTTGATCAGCATACTCTTCTTAAAAATAAGTATCATTTAATCACATATTATATGTTTTTATCCAAAATGTAAAAATAATTTTAATACATATTTTATTTTTGTTACAATTTTATTTTTCAATAAATTTAAATGTTTAATCTTGTTTATTTACTAAAATTTTTTTATGACATAATCTTTTAAATTTATATGTTAGCTGAAAATTTTTTACAATTGTGCATATATGTACATGTGTATTTTCAATTAAATTATAAATTTATAAAATATATAATTTTGATTTCTTATATTAACATGTTATAATTCAAACTTTTGTGTATATATTTGATATTTCACAGAATATATCTTTGTTAAAAAAATTATTAAAATTTTTTTATCAAATTTTTAATATCTAAGTTACTTAAATTTGTTCTAAATTTAGTACGAATATTAAATACATCATTAATAAATAGTAATGTTAAAAGATAAATTAGAGATTTAGCATAATGAGGGGTAAATCAGTAAACAACATCTATTTTAACATGGTTTTTAATTATAAAATGTACTATGGGAATCATTTCAAAGTATATTTTAACGGTCTTAATGATATAGATTAAAATGTATATTTTCAAAATAAATGGGAAGCCTATATAATTAAGATAAAATATAATGGTGGTTAGAATATTTTACTCATAAATATTTTATTCCCTATTTAAAACTATAATCTTTCTCTAATGTTACAACCCCTCGAAATTTTTGACGATTGAGGTATTACATTTTTTTTTTTAACTTTTATCTTTTATTTAATATAACATACACTTTAATTCAATATGATTTTTATTTAATACAATTTAATAAATATCAATATTAAATATAAAACTGTTGTTAATTTTTTTGTTTTATATAATGATTATGTTTGTGTATTTGCAAAAAAATCACATGCATAGCATATTTATATATGATAAAAAATTTGCAAAAAATAAATATTTTTATGGGAAAAAGACAGGAAAATACCCTTAAATATGTGAAAACCTAGATAAGTGCATGTGAAATATCAGACCTGGGGTACTGATCTAGCATTTGCAAATGTTAGCCAAAGACATAATTGCCCCTGAGGAAAATTTAAAAAAAAAAAGATGGAATGCGGGAGAGGTTATTTGTGCTGCATCGTTGTGAAACTTCTTGTGCCCACATTTCTCTACCACAATCGCCAGTTATCGTGAGGGGAAGGAACATCGTGCCTATAAGGAACTGCCGCTGGCTGTTGTGAGGGTGAGAGGAAGCAGCATCGCCTCTAGGGGAACATCGTAGCTGTGAGTGGAGCAGGCCCTGTCAAAGGAGCACTGTCGATGTGAGGGGAAGATCGTCACCATTATTAGGGTTTGGTAAGTTGATTATTTATTTTATTTGCACAGTGGTTGTCGTTGGGCAATCAATTACATCAGAGATTAGAGATTTTAGAGAGTAATAAGGTTATTGGGTTGAACTAATTGGTCAATCACACAAAGGCAAGTTGATTTCAGATGATTTTTGAATGATTTGTTTGTTAATGAAAGAAAGATTAAGCCTTACTATACTAAATGAAGAGAGTGAACGATTTATTTTGTTAATAATTTTTGCATGATCATTTTGGCTAATTGGTGTTTGATGGTGAGAACATCTGTTAGTAGAGTTTATTACATAGGTATAGCGATTGACAACGACTGAATAGTGAATGATAACATTTTAGTATGAGTGACTGCTTAAGATAATTTTTTGAATGATCTTATTATTAATTAAAGATTAAGCCTCAGTGTACCAAATGAGGCTAGTCATCGATTTATTTTGTCAATAGTTTTTGCATGATCATTTTTGGGTAATTGGTGTTTGATGGTGACAACATCTGTTAATGAAGTTTATTACATAGGTGTAGTAATTGACAATAATTTCATAGTGAATGACAACATTTGAGTACTAGTGACTGGTGAAGATGAATTTTTGAATGTTTTTATTGCGAGTGACAATGAATGCATAGTGAATGACAACATTTGAATACGAGCGACTGCTGAAGATGATTTTTTGAATGTTGTTACTGCGATTGACAGCAAATTCATAGTGAATGACAACATTTGAGTAGTAGTGACTCTTGATGACAAATTTTTGAACGTTTTTATTGTGAGTGACAACGAATGCATAGTGAGTGACAACATTTGACTAGTAGTGACTGCTTAAGATGAATTTTTGAATGGTTTATTATGAGTGACAACGAATGCATAGTGAATGACAACATTTGAGTACAAGTAACTGTTTTAGATGATTTTTTGAATGATTTTATTGTTAACTAAAGATTAAGCCTCACTATACTGAATGAGGTAAGGAAACGTTATATTTTGGTGATTACTTTTTGCATGATCATTTTTGGCTAATTTGTGTTTGAGGATGACAACATTTGTAACTGGAAGTTATTACATAGGTGTAGCAATGACAACTACTGCATAGTGAATGACAATATTTGAGTACTAGTGATTGTTGAAGATGATATTTTGAATGTTTATATTGTGATTGACAACAACTGTATAGTGAATGCAACAATTGAGCATCAGTGACTGTTTATATGCAGAAGAGTGAAGATGGTCTTGGAAGGGGATTCATCAAAATCAGTACAGAATGGATTCATGTTGTTTAGGAAGGAGTTTTATGAGAAATTAGGGAGAAAGAGGTCAAAGCATTTTAAGGAACAGAATAAGGAAGTGTCAAAGGCATGGAAAGAGTTGTGTGAGAAGGAAAAAAAGAGGTACAATGACAAGGCTAGGGAATCAAGGCCTGAGAGGAAGAAAACAAGGAAGAACAAAATTCTATTCCAAACCTGGTGCTCTCTGCCCCAATTCAGGTCATTGGCGGACTTTGTAAATGATAATGCAAGTTTGAGGGAGAGAGTAGAGAAGATAGGGTTCTCAAAGTTGTTGCATGTAGCATGTGAGAGACTCCCATGTGACCTACTAGTGGCTTTTCTTTGTTCATATGATCCAGCAACACATGAATTCAAAATTAGGGGCATTTCAAAGGAATTCAAGCAAGAAGAGATGTTAAAATATTGCTTGGTGTACCTGACACTGGGGAAGTAGTGAAGGCCAGAGTAAATGAAAATAATCCAACATATTAACAATTGAAGAGGGAGTACTATAAAGTGTCATTTGCCAATATATTAAATGACATTAAATCTAAACAGCATGATGATAAATTTGAGTTTTTATTTATGTTGTACACCCTTAGAACCTTTCTATGTCCAAATTCAAGGGATAAAGTAAGTGACCGGTTACTGAAGCTGATAGCTTGCAGTATGAATGGGTTTGAGCATTATGATTGGGCTACATATATTATGAAGGACTTAGTGAAAGAGTTGAAGGCTTATGTTAAAGTATTCAGAAGTGGTGGGAGCTCTAATGTGAGCGGCTGTGTGCTGTAGTTATGTAATGTAATGTAATTTGTCAATGTTTGATTTAATTGATATTTGTATAATTTTATTTATTTCATGTTGCAGATATATTTTTGCGAGCACTTTAGGCTGAAAAAAATGATGTGCATGATGCTGCAAATACAATTGAGTATTGGAATGAGGAGAGAGTTAAAGAAGTTGTTAAAACAGAGAGGGAGAGCAACGTAGGGTTGTTGTTTGGAGAGACACAAAGAGATGTGAAAGTGGGGCAAGAGGACAGAGTAGGAGTTCCTTATCTAGACCTGGTATGTGTTACTTTGTCTAGTGTTTTTAGTTGTTTAGTATGTGGATTATGTTGAATTTGATGGTATTTGTTGCAGGAGCTGAACAATCTTTATGGGCGATTGGTGACTATTATTGATGAGAGCAATAAAAGACTACTCACTGTAATTGCGGAAGAGTTGCTGAAAGTTCAGCTTACAAAAGAGGCACACAAAAAAGGCGTCCAAGATGGAAGTAAGGAGCCAATTGAGGTGGAAGAAGAAGGAGTTGGAAGAGGTGATGATAGTTTTCACATTGATGAAGATTTTGAGGACAATGTAGGTAGGAATAATGATGAGTCTCCCATAGAAGGAGGAGAAGAGGGTAAATCTGTACAAGAAGAAGAAGGAGGAGAAGAGGGAGATAATGATAAATGTAGCAATGAAGAAGATGGAGTAGAAGAAGCTGAGGATGATAAATCTGCCAGTGAAGAAGAAGGAAGAGGAGAAGGTGACAAGGATAAATCTGCCAGTGAAGAAGAAGGAGAAGGAGAAGGAGAAGGTGATGATGATGAGGCTACCAATAAAGGACAAGCAATCTATGATGTGAGTGGGAAAGGAGTGGAGGAGGGAGAACAACTCTAAAGATCAAAGAGGGTGATTAAACCAATAGTTAGATCTCCATGGATCTGGACGAAGAAAACACATAAGAGAAAGAGGACTTTGGAGGACAAGGACAAATTTTTTAAAATCATATCCATGATGCCTCCACGGGATCAGGGTGGCCAGTAAGTTATTATAAAATGACAACTTTTCATTATGTTTTCACCTGTCACCTATATGAGTTGACAACAAAATCATATCCAGGACTGAATTTTTTTTGTTCCTTTTCAGGCCAATAGTTGATATGCATGATGAAATACTTACTCGAGAAGAACTACTTTCACTGGGTGGAATCCAGAAAATAAACACACAGATGATGTCGCTTGTATATAAGACTTTGATGGGCGATATGAAAGAGGAAGGAAATGTGAAAAGACACTTGTTTGATGCCTACTTCATGGTTAGATGAATGACTTATTTCATTGCCTTATCGATGTTTGCCTATTTTTAACACAAGCTTAAATTGCAGCTGAAAATGGTATCGCGTCCCATTAGTTGGAGGGCTTCTAAGCACAAGAAGCAAATATTACCTGAGCATGTTGGGTACGACATAGGAGATTGTGATTTGATTTTTTGGCCTGCTCTTGTGGCTGACCATTGGTTCTGTTATGTCCTTCAGCCGAAGACATTGAATTTTTATGTGCTTGATTCGATGAAGGTCAATGGCGTTAAGCAGAAAAAAAGCAAAAAAAAGGTATTTTTGGGGGATCCAAAAGGAGCTACTTACAATGCATGCGTAAGAACTGAATAAGAGAACCTTAATAATGATGTTATTATTATATTAATTTGTTACTTATATAAATTTGTTACTTACTATGGTCATCTGTTTATCTTTAGAGAGATCGCTTTTATGACATAATTGAATTGGTCAAACCAGAACTCATTGGGAAGAAGCCAAAGGCAGACATAATTATGCCTCCCATTCCACAACAAACCAACTTATGAGTGCCATTGAGTCTGACTAATCATTATTGACCATAAATTGTTTTCAGTGGACTAACAATTTATGAATGACTTTTTCTGCCCAGGAGAGACTACGATGTACATGTTTTGATATGGTTAAGCAAATGGTCCCCGAATGTGGCTTTGGATTGCACAAATGAACAAGTCACTGCATTTAGACGTGACCTGTTGTGGTGGCTGGTTAACCATGAGGGAAATGGTAAGAGGGTGGAAGCTTTAAAGCTGCTTTAAGAAGAAAAGAAGACCACAAAGCGGCAGCATTTGTCCAAGTAGTACACATGGTTGTTTACGGTTGGTGTTAGGCTTTATATTACATATGAATCGCTTGTTTTGTATGGAAACAAACCGTTTGCCAAATGGTGATCTTATATCTAGTGTGTGCTTGTACTTTGAAAACACCACTTATATTGTAAGAAATTCAAGTTCTGATAATGTATGAACCACGTTGACAACTGTTATAAATGGTTTAACACCATTCCATATTTATTGACACCATGCTATTAGGAAAGTTCATTACATGTTCTAGTTACTTTGAAATGTAGACCCTTGGGACGTTGACATCACTTTCATTGAGAAGGACAACTCCTTCATATATGTTGACTACACATGAACTAGTAATTTGTGTTTTAGCCAATCAAAAAAGAAACCTGGGCTGAACAGACTTGTATAAAAATAGGAGTTACGCGTTTACAACATTTACATAGATAATGACAACACGGAAACTGGAAAGTTTGCTTCTGGGGATACCCTATGTAGGAAAATGGGTTAATTAAATGTCCTTCTTATTATGCATGTTGACAACATTTTCATATATAATGACAACACCATCATAAAATTAAACGGCACTTGCATATAAAGTGATGACACCAACAGTGAAAGTTTAAATCAAGGGAGAGCAATGGAGAAACTTGGGTAGCTGAAGTGACAACAATTTTAAATATAGTGACAACACTATCATGGCCCCGGTCCCGTCCCGATGAATAGTAATGGGACAAGAAATCTGTCCCGTGTCCCGTCCCGTTCCGATATTGTCTCGTTACCATTTTTTTTTTGGCAAAACGTTGTGGGCTTCTGAGAAACACTATGGGCCTTTTAAAAAAATGTTGTGGGCCTCTTAATAATGATGTGGGCCTTTTAATAGGAGATTTTAAATGATTTGGGCCTTCAATAGGAGATATACTTTTCATATATAAACAATTTTACAATCTAAATAATAACATACAGCTTTATATCTTTTTTTTTTAACTAGCAAAGGAATCTCATTAACTGAAACGAGCCAGGAGAAATAGTTCACTACAAAAGATAAAGGGAAAAGAAACCAAATGACAAGCTAACAAGTCAAAAGCAATTCAAACGATCCCTTCCCTGTCATCATCTTCAACGTGTTGGTCAAAACAGAACCAACTAACAAATAACAAGCCAGAAAATAACAAACAGAACCAAATCCATTGACTATAAAATGGTCTCAAACTGTAAAGAAACATAACAAACAGTCCAAATGTTTAATGAGGCAATAAGTCCATCACCAAATGACAACACTACATCATCAAAAACACTTATCCAGAAAATAAGCCAGAAAATAATAGAACCAAAACCATCCAGCAACACACAATCCATCATTTACGGGTTATTTGGTTGTTCCTCTTCCTGTAATAAATTTGAGGTAGCTGATTCTTCTCTAAATGAAGACAAAGAAAAGAAAAATTGTTAATATGAAGTTAATAAATCAGATAGAAAAGGAATTTTAAAACTGTCCGTAACATAAAACATGTGTGTGTGTGTGTAGAGAGAGATGAAATGTTGATCATCATTATCGTCTTATAATATTCAAACTTGCAAAGCCACAAAGCGCACAAAGCACACAGAAGCATATGAATCAAGCATGAAGGTAATGAGTATCTTGTTCTAATACAGCCAGAATAGTTAATTAGTATAGCATATTCTGATGATGCATGCTTTGAAACTCTCTCTCTCTTTCTATACATATATATATATATATAGATATTAAAAATGAAATGCACTATTTATGTTTTGGCAATGATGCAGCAAAAAATAGTGATCAAAGTGATATTAATGTTTTGGCAATGACGCAACCCTCCTCTTGATCTCTTTTATTCGTTCTTAGAACCGGCTATAAAACATAGATAGAGACATTTGGTTGATGACTATATGAGCAGTGATCATTAGTAGTTTAATTAATTTGGGAATCAACTCATGAGATGTAATTAATTTGGGAAAGCCTAAAATTGGTTTATTGATGTTTTTGTAGTGTCTCGTACGCCAAAGTCTTACATTTGGAACATTAAACATTTGTTACATACGGACAAATTACACAAATTTCATTTTAAAAAAATTGGACTGCAAAACAATATTTAGTTTTTTTTAAAAAAAAAGGAGTATTAAACATCTTCTACTTAATCCTAACGTAGATCCATGTTCTATATGCTGCTACTATAAAAAAATCCATGTTCTATATGAAAATAAGTCCACATTTTTTAATGTTATGGCTTGGAAGTTGCCCATTTGGACAGCAGACCAAAATGACAGAATTATATCAAATGTTAAAATTTTTTTGGCTTCAATCAAATGCTACTAAAAGATAGATATTACCCTGTGCCGCAATCTCAGTTTCATTGAAGTCATCAATGTCTAGTCCTTTCAGCTTCACTGTTGATGGAGATAACCAATTTTATGTACAAATTAATGCCTCAACCATTTTTTAGGATAAAGAACTCCTGAAGTCATCGATCACACGACCCCCCGTGCTAAATGCAGATTCTGAAGACACGGTAGACACGGGCATGGCAAAAACATCACGTGCAATAATTGAAAGGACTTTGTACTTCATAGCATTAAGGTTCCACTAGGCCAAAATATCAAAGTCAAGCTCATGTGCTTCAACTAACTCAGCTTGCAAATACTTCTCCACCTCTGCATACTTGTCTGATTGAGTCTCAGTCTCAGTCTCAAATCGAGCAACAAACCTCCGAGTTGATCGCTTAGGATGCACAGAAGTTATAGTTGAACCTAATTGTTTTGAAGCACAAGTAGATGCACTAGTAGTTTCACTTACAACTTGTCTATTCCTTTGTCTTTGAATTTGCATATGAAACTGAGATGTGTTAAGCCCACTCGAATAACAATCATACAACTGATATAAGACGATTGTGACTATTTTTGACATGTGTTCACGTTGTGCTTGGCTTTGAAACATCTCCTCAACAGCAAAGGTGAGATATTTCATTTTATACCTTGGGTCAAGTATCACTGCTATCACCAAAAGAGGGTTAAGAGTTTACAAG